GCATTAGACCTAGGTAGAGGTTTAGGCTCTGTAGGAGTAGAATTGTATGAGACATCTGAGTATATGAAGTATATCTGAGTGTATAAAAAATGTGCAATATGCTGCTGTAAACGCCTCTAAAGAATTCCCCATCCTCTCACCACCCCCAGTCTATAACTCAGAAAGGCTCCTGTTTCTTTTTCTGACAAGAACCCATATACTGGACATTGTCTTAGCCACCTACCCTGTTTAGCAGGTTTTCCTACTCTGCTGTGCAGGAACTGCCTTCCTATTAGGTCAAATTACAGATAGGGGTAGTGTAGGTCTCGATGCCCAGGCAAGAACAGCTGAGTAGGCTGAGCAAGGAGAAAGGAAACTGTCATGCAAGGAAGGGTTAAAGAATTCTAAAGACTTTCCCTGGGTGTTTTTTCCCCACTCACTCCCAGGCTAAGCTCAGGTTCAGCTAATAAGAGATTGGTATTAAGTGGAATTGGAAACATCTTCTCTCCCCTGAGTGTCTTTCATGTCTTTTAAAATTTTAACAGCTGCCACTACATTTGAGTAAATAAGTACCTGTTCTTTTATTTTTATTTTTTTGTGAGTAACATATTTTACCTATTCAGTCAAGGCAGTAAACAAAGAAGGGAGAGGCTATTTTCATTGTAGAAAAAAATAATAAAAACAAATACTTTTGTAACTCCCTTGTGAAACAGTTTTTGAAGATAACTATCATTTTATACTTGATCTCAAAGTAGTTTGTCTAGTATGTTAGGCTGTTTCATATTTGTTCAGTGGTCTTTTGGTAGCAGTAGTATGCACTAATACAAAAGAGGTAATATTATTCACTGTTTCTTTTATATCTAGTTTTCTTTTTCTTTCTATTAGTACTGACTGCTTTGAAGGTTATTGCTGGCTTGTGTTTAATCTGAAAATAGAAGCAGTTTACCTTTGCAACAAGAAAGAGAAAGGCACCTTCACTTTAATCCTTCTTGCAGAAGAGAGAACTAGTGCCCGCTTGGGACTGAGCAATGTATTGAAATGCTTCACATGACCTAATTACAGTTCTGTTGAGAAGATTCAGAGTGAATATATTATGTGTTCACGAAGGCAGCATGTCTTTGTCCTTTAATAATTTTTCTCCCAGTGTTATTTAGTTGAAAACTGCGTGCTTTTTTAAAAAATTGACCTATGCATCTTTAAAACTAAATTGCTTTATATTATTTCTTCTTTCTGAATATATCTAAAATCAGATCTTTGACAGAATTGCAAGGAAAGCTAATTTTCCCATTAGTTACTTGTACTATCCGTTTCTAGATAACACTAATCTGTAAAATCGTGATAAAAATTCACCATTTTCTCTTTACTTATTTGACGCAACATAAATAAGGTAGAATGATGGCTAATCTGAAAAAGAACATTTAGGAAATAAGACCAGGAAACATAAAATTGCCTCCATTGGGAATATCAAGAAATATTTACTGTCATTGCTGATGAGGTAAGGAGAAGTATCTGGAATCCCAAGTCCAGATCCCAAATCTAAAAGCAGTGGTATACAGTAGTGTCATACGTGGTGTTAAACTTCTATAATGGAATGAGTAGTACAGATCTAGCCATTAAAGGGTTTGTTGTGTTTTAGTTTTAGGTTATTGCAGGGGAAAGTGTGTTTCATAAATTAGCTTAAAAGCAAACTGCATGTGATGTGATGGTTTGGAGCTTTTTTCTAAAGATATTTTGAGTTTTGGGGGGTTTTTTGTTTGTTTGGGGGGTTTTTTTGTTGGAGTCTCACTCCGTCGCCCAGGCTAGAGCGCAGTGGCACGCTCGCAGCCACCCCAGCATGGGGCTAGGGTGATCCTTCCACCTCAGTCTTATAAGTAGCCGGAACTAAAGGCGCCCGCTACTACACCCAGCTAATTTTTTGGTTTATTGTAGAGATGAAGTCTCATCAAGTTGCCTAGGCTATTTTCGAGCCCCTGGGCTCAGACAATTCTCTCACCTCGGCTTCCCAAAGTGCTGGGATTACAGGATTGAACCACCACACCCAGCCTTGTTTTCTTTTGTTTTGGAGACAGGGTCTTATTCTATGTTGCCCAGGCTGGAGTGCAGTGGCTATTCACAGGTGTAATCATAGTGCCCTACAGCCCCGAATTCCTGGGCTCAAGCAATCCAACTGATTCAGCCTCTTGAGTAGCTGGGACTGTGGGCACATGCCAGTGTGCCTAGCTTCGTTTCTTTTCCTAGTTAAGTTGATGGGCTACCTGTACATATAGAGATTCATGGTAGTATATCTGAATGTATGCATAGCTGAAATAGGCTATTAATGCCATATGATATGAAATGTATTCAACATAAGTCTGCACTGTCATTTTTAAAAGTAATAGCACCACAGACTGATGCAATGTGTACACTGCCACTGTTGGTAGCTCTCTAACATCGCCAGTGATTTTTTTCCTTTTTTTTTTTTATTTTTTTTTGTAAAGCATTCTCTTCATAAAATGAAGCAGAATAAAAATTTAAAATACTTATTCTACCATTTTCAAATAATCCTAATAACATTTCTCAGGATTACTTTCCATTTTCTCTTTGCATATAAGTATATCATTCTGATGATGTTATATATTTTCTATCCAATAGAGCTTTTTTTAACATTTCTTGATTTTTGCACATTTATCATGAAATCATTTTGAATGCTCCTTACTATTCTAGTATGTGAGTGTTCTTTAACTCCTCTAATGTCCATTTGGGTATTTGTATTTTTTCACTTTTATAAATAACATTGCAAATAACCAGTTTTGTCCACATTTGTAATTATACCTTAGGATAGATTCCTACAAGTAAAATTCCTCAGTCAAAATATGAAGTGCTTTAAAGACTCATAATACATGATGCTAGGTTGTTGAATGACATATCGGTTTTTATTTTAACCTATGCTGTGCCAACTCACTGCAACATTACCAAAATTGAGTATTTTATATATATATATATATATTTTTTTTTTTTTTTTTTTTAACCTTGGCCAATTTGTTAGGTAAAAAGTTTGTATCTTTAAAGATGTTTTTATTTTTATGACGTCTTCTTTGTTACTGATTGTCACCAATTCCTTATATAGTAAAGGTAAAACACTTTTTATGCTTAAAGCTTGACAGATTTTTTTTTTAAACAGATTTTAATGTGATCAAATCTGTCAGTCTTTTCTGTCATTAGCACCCTCATTGTTGTTATATGCATCCCTTCCATAAAGTGTCTAAGAACCAGGAAGTTAATTGTGTCAACTGAGAGAACCTACCTCTGGTGAATAGTTTTAGTCATATGTAATTAAGAATTGATTAAATGGTTACATGATACTAAAAAAAAACAAAACAGGAAATAAAGACAGATCTAATTGCAAAATCTCTGTAGATCTACTGCATTGGGTGAAGTATGTTAACTTCCCAGAGCTCCCTGAAAACTGTGGTAGAGCCTGCCAGAGGACATCTTCAGTGGTTGTTTTCTGATAAGTACTTGGGAGTTTCTACTGCTTTTGAAATAAGTTGACTACCTCTGTTTAAAGGATTGAAATGGATATGTATATCAATATTATTGATAAAAACATAATACTGAGTAAAAATAAAGGAAGCTAAATTACCTAGTCATGTATATAATGTTACACCATAATCTTATGACAGCTATAAGTCGAATTCATGGTTGTGGTTGCTATTTGCAAGGAAGAGGGGAGATTCTTTCAAAAATGGAATAGGGAAAATGTGTCACAGGTTATTTTGGCTTTGTAAAGTTTTACTTGTTTTGTTTTGAAAACCCCTGAAACAAGTCTCGCAAAATGTTATCAGTAAGTGATTCTGAATGATGAGACACTTGTATTTTTTTATTCTTCTTTTTTTTTGTTAAAAGCCAAAAAATATAACAAAGGAATAAAAAACTTGAGATGATACAGCACCTATAAAAAGAAAAACAAAAGGACATTAAAGAACATTTGAATAAACAGAGAGATCATGTATTTAAGAGTAAGAAGTCTGAATAGTATGGCATAGTCACTCTTCTCCAAATAAATCAATAGGTATTGAATAACCCCACTAGCAATCCCAATTTGAATTCAGTTGGAACTTGATAGAATAAGTCTATAATTCCCTAGGGAAAAAATAAACAGGAAACAATATCCAATAAATATTTGGGGGAAACAAAAGAGTTCTGCAGGTTGACTCTTAAAATTTCAATAAGTGAAAATGTTTGATGATTCTCTGACTAAACGTGTCTCTAAATGAACATACATATATTCACATCAAACTGATTTGCAAAAAGAACAGAGGAGATAAAAATACATGAGAATAATGGTGATGACTGCTTAGTGGTGAGATTATAAGTTTTTATTTCTAATACTTTTTAAATATCAAAATATTTTAAATTGGAAGGTAAGTGGGTCTTGCCATTATAGAATAATACTTCTGTTTTTAGAATGATAAGGTGTATGCACTGCAGTATCTGCTTTCCAGCTTAAAAGAGACTTGTGAAAGGGTAGTTTGAAGTCCATGACAGTAGAGCATAAAATAACCTTTCGAACTTCAATAGCCAAATCAAAACTGGAAGATTAAATAAATAATAATCATATACAGTCATCCCTTGATAGGTATGGGGGATTGGTTCCAGGACCACTGATGGATACCCAAATTCTCAGATGCTCAAGTCCAATGTATAAAATGGTGTATAGTATTTGCACATAGCCTATGGATATCTTCCAGTATACTTTAAGTCATCTTTAGGTTATTTATAATACTTAATACAATGTAACTACTATGTAAATAGTTGTTGTACTGAATTATTTAGGGAATAATAGCAAGAAAAAAGTACGTACATGTTCAGTACAGACACAGCCATCCATTTTTCCCAAATATTTTCAATCCACATTTGGTTAAATCCATGGATACGGATAGATATGGAGGGCTGACTATTTATTTGTTTTATAGGTAGGTATTTTGATATTTTCTAAGAGTATAATGACCAATTTAACTTTATTTTTTTTCTTTTCAAAGCCATATGAAGGATTAAGACCTCAGGATCTTCGTAGATTGAAAGATATGCTTATTGTGGAAACTGCAGACATGCTTCAGGCTCCTCTGTTTACTGCTGAAGCTTTACTTCGAGCTCATGGTAATGAAATGAATGTCTTAGCTTCTGATAACACTAGTGCCTTTTGAAACTTTTCAGAGTTAAAGGATGGCTATTTTGTATTTTAATACAAATCAAAATGGTTTATTAAACAGCCTAAGCTGGTTTTTGTGCAGTGGTTACTACAATACTCAGTTCCTCATAACATTTTATATTTTGAAATACAAATTTCCTATCAATCAAAGAGGAAATATTGAAAATTTCTTTTAAAAAATTGAGCCACTAGGCCAGGCATGGTGGCTCATGCCTGTAATCCCAACACTGAAAGGCTGAGGAGGAGGGAAGATTGCTTGAGCCCTGGAGTTCAAAACCAGCCTGGTCAACATAGCGAGACTTTGTCTCTACAAAAATTTAAAAATGCACTAGGCATGATGGTGCATACTTGTCCTGGCTACTCAGGAAGCTGAGGCAGAAGGATCACCTGATCGCAGGAGATCGAGGCTGCAGTGAGCCATGATTGTGCCACTTGTACTCCAGCCGAGGTGACAGAGTGACACCCCTGAATCAAAAAAAAAAAAAAATGAGCTACTATATCACTAGATTGTCTCATTTTAGAAATGTGTTTGATTTAAGTGACATTGGACATTGAAATATATAGTGCTAGCCTTGGTTTTCAATTGCAATAGTTCAATTAAATACCTAAGAATTGCACCATTAGTACTGGGGGGTTTTTTTGGTTTTATTTTATTTTATTTTTTTTTGGTGAGTTGGAGTCTCACTATGTCGCCCAGACTGGAGTGCAGTGGCCACTCCCGGTCACCGCAGCCTCACCTGCTGGGCTCCAGCGATCCTTCCACCTCAGCCTTCCGAGTAGCCGGAATTACTGGCATATGCTACCACGCCCAGCTGATTTTTTGATTTATTGTAGAGATGAGGTCTCGCTGCCCAGGCGGGTCTCGAACCCGTGGGCTCAGGCAATCCACCCACCTCAGCCTCCCAAAGGCGAGGGATTACAGGCTGAGCCACCGAGCCCAGCTCATTAGTATTGTTAATTGTATTTATTTTATGTAAAAACTTTTCTCAAAGTGAAGTTAGAGAATCAACCCTATAAAGTGTCAACTCGGGAATATACTGTCCCAAGTTGTTTTTTTGGCTAAGCGTTTTTTGTGTTTTTAGGCTTTCTTTTTTTTTGTTTTGGTCTTAAACATAATCAACTTTACTTAGGAAAATGTACCTAAGTACTCAGCTTGATTTAAGTTCTCTGACTCTTAATAGTTCTCACTTGCTAGGTTGGACCCTCTCATTGCACATATGGCATTTGACATTTCGGTTGGTTTCAAAGAAAAGTATTTTCTGAATTTAAAATATTTTTTAAAAGAAAGGTAAATGGCTTTTCTAGTTCAATCATTTTGAGACTTTAGCTGTCTATTTTAACTATAAATCTTTATCATATATACTAAAAAGGATACCACTTTCCAAATTTTTATACAACTTTTTGATCAGATTTTTTTTTTTTTTTTTTTTTGAGTTGGAGTCTCACTTCACCCAGGCTGGAGTGCAGTGACATGCATGCTCACAGCCACCCCCGCGTTGACCTGCTGGGCTCAGGTGATCCTTCCACTTCAACCTTCCAAGTAGCCAGGACTACAGGTGTGCATTACCACGCCTGGCTGATTTTTTATTTATTGTAGAGACAAGGTCTCGCCAAGTTACCCGGGCTGATCTCAAACCTGCGAACTCAGACAACCCACTCGCCTTGCCTTCCCAAAGTGCTGGAATTACAGGCTGAGCCACTGAGCTCGACTGATCAGAAGATTTTTAAAACTCTGTATTTTGAACGTGGCAAGATGTCATCTCTACAATAAATTAAAAAAAAAAAAATTAGCCAGGCGTGGTAGCACGCGCCTGTAATTCCAGCTACTTGGAAGGCTGAGGCGGAAGGATCGCCGGAGCCTAGCAGGTTGAGGCTGCGGTGGCCGGGAGTGGCCACTGTACTCCAGTCTGGGCGACAGAGTGAGACTCCAACTCAAAAAAAAAAAAAAAGCAACTCCATATTTTGTTATCTTTTGATCACCACTGTAAATAATTTGATATATAACCTTCCATAATCACTACCTTCAATAATGATTTTTCCCATAGTTTTACAATTGGCATTTTGTTTCCTACTTTATATTCCAGTGGCTCTTAAATTTTAGTGTAAATAAGACCTGGGAAATTAAACGTAGATTCTGAGGACTAACCCTAGAGAGTCTAAGTCATTATGTGTAGTGTGAGGCATAAAAATATTTGTTGTAAACAAGCCTCCTAAATGGACCGCTCTCTAGGAAATGTTGCTGTGCATATTTATCTAATGAAATCAGTGGTTTCAAAACCCAATAAAGCTTATGTCTACAACCTTACTTTAATCTAGTATTCTAGACTATATTTCTGAATGACTGTTTATTGTTTTCTCCTCAGACTAACCAAATCTGAACTTATTCATCTCTCCTACTGTCTTGACCTGTGGGCAGCAACATTGACCTAATTCTTCTACCCAAAATCATGAAAGTCGTAATTTACTCCTCTATCTCTATTATATTACACAGTTCCACCATTTCTCTTCCTAAATATCTCTATCTCCCATCACCTTCCCTAGCTGTTTCCATGTACACTGCCTCTGACTTAAATTCAGGCTCTCATTCTTCATCTAAAGTGTAGTGCCCTAAAACCTAATCTCCAGTTTGGGCATTTCTCTTTTACCCAGTTAATTTCTCATATTGCATTCTTTTAAAATGAAGATCTGGGACTGTCACTTTCCTGCTGAAAACCCTTCACTGGCTCTCCATAAACTTAAAATCCTCCAAATTTTTTAGTAGATTTTATAACACGGGCTTCTTTACCTGGGCTGTCAGTTTCACTATTTCTTTACCTTACTTCAAGTTGTCCTCAGAAATTTTATCTTCTGTGAAACCTTTTATGTCTTCCCATCTCTCCATTGGGACCCTTCCTGACTATTCTTATCATATTCTATGCATATATGTTTCATGCATTTGTAATAGAATAGTGTAATCTCTTTGTTTTTCTTCCAGATTAGCCTTGGAGCTCCTTGAGAGAAGCTTTTAATGTTTTTTGTTTGTTTGTTTGTTCAATACCTAACATATATTAATCCCCCAGAAAATAGTTATGGAATGAACAGATAGTATACCTGACATGTTTTTATTTTTCTGAAAATCCACTTTTTTTTATAAAATTATATTTCTTTATTGCCATTTAATCTACCATACTTTGAAGTAAATTCTGTGGAAAAAGTTTTAGATCTGGGTCAAAAATTAAATTTAGGAATTCTGGATCGTTTTAAAAATTACCTAAAGACAAAATATTTTCTTTGTAGCCAATAATAGTACTAAACAGTGATAATATAAAAGCTTGTACAGAAACACAAAATACCTTTTATTGTGTTTCTTTAGGGAAAGGAAGTTTATAGCACCAAAAGATATACCTGGTTCTTTGCTTGAGATTTTAAATACAGGGTGTGCATTTAAATATAACGTAGAGCTGTCATCATATTATAATGGAAGCTATTCATCAGTGGGGTGCTGTGGCATTAAAGTTGTACTGGTCAGGGTAGGCTGACTGCTGAAACAAAAATATAGGCTTAAGCACAGTAACATTTCTTAATCATGTAAATAGGCCAAAGCATTTCCATTTAGATTAGATGAGATGGGACTTGCCTCCACCCAATCATTTCTGGACCAAGACTAACTGAGACATTGCCATCTTAAAAAGAGCCCATGGGTTCGAGACCCGCCTGGGCAGCGAGACCTCATCTCTACAATAAATCAAAAAATCAGCCGAGTGTGGTAGTGCACGCCTGTAGTTCCAGCTACTTGGAAGGCTGAGGCGGAAGGATCGCTGGAGCCCAGCAGATCGAGGCTGCAGTGACTGGGAGCGGCCACTGCACTCCAGTTTGGGCGACAGAGTGAGACTCCAATTCAAAAAAAGAAAAAAAAAGTCACTTCCAAGATTTCCCTGGAGATTATCCCCATTTCAGCCAAGCAGTCAGAAGGGGGGAAGAGCATGGAGGAATGAGTATGAGAAGTTTTATGAGCCAGTCTTGGAAGTGGCCTACATCACTCCTGCATATATTTTGTTAACCAGAATTCAGTCACACATAACTGCACTACACTACAGCATTTTTATGTACAGATAGCTATCTCTGCCACAGGTGTCTGCATTCAGACAGATAATAATTATGTATCATAACTCATAAGTCATAGTGTCATAGAGAATCTATCTAATTTTACCAGTTTATTTCACTGTAACTAAAAGAAATATTTTCATTCCCATTCTTTTACACATTATGTAGTTATTATTAAATAATCAACTCCATTTTATTCTGTTGATATTTCCCTAAATTACTTCTTTCACATAATAGGGGCAAATTCTAATGAAGTGAAATCCAGTTGAATTGTCCTACTTGGCGTTTGTCTGTTCTGCGATAACTTACTAAAGTGCTCGTTCTATATTTAATTTCCCTAACAGGGCATAAAATAGAGGCCAATTCAAGTTTTTAAATGAGCATCTCTTCTATATTGTTTAGGTAATTTGAGTTATATTAGATAAATAAGATTTACAAAGATAAATAATGTCAGTGAGTAAAATAGTGCATAGTGCACAGTTTATTATAATTGCTTTTAAAGTATTTAGAAAATTTATAGATTGTATCCTTGGTGACTTTATATAGGTTGGCACAGAAAAATAGATTTGAGTATTATATTATCTGTTGTCAAATTTAGTCCCAAGGTAATGAAGTTGATCTAGATTAAGCAGAAAGCAGAAATATTTGGCAATATTAAATAGAAATTGAATTTTAAAGAGAGCTTGTGCTAGGGCTACAAAGGTCATTCTCTGAGTATTTCCTCCATAATAAAAGTAACTTATGTAATTGAATACTACCTAGTGAGAAAATAAATAAAATTTATGAAATATGAGACCAAGGCTAATTTGCTTATGCTTAGAATAAATTTATATTGAAGCATTGTTTAAACACCTTTGGAGGCTCA